CGCTTTCGATGAAAACCAAAAATACCAGACGTTTTTGTTGAAAACCCAAAAAATCGTGGAGCGTTCGTTAAAATCCAAAAAAGTGGACGCTTTCGTTGAAAACCAAAAATAGCAGACGCTTTTGTCGAAAACCCAAAAATCGTGGACGCGTTCTTTGAAACTCCAAAAAGTGGACGCTTTCTTTGAAAACCCAAAAATCGTGGACGAAAACCAGACTGTAGTAGGTGCTTTCATTGAAACCCCCAAAAAAGTCAGGACGTATTCGTTGAAAACCAAAAAACAGTCAGTGCACTCGTTTGTTGAAAACTTTTCAACGTTTCTCGTTGATCGGAGAAAACCAAGATAAGGTTCAAGTTACGATTTGTATTTACTTTATCAGCCATCAGTTATACCTAAAATTTGTGTGCCAAAGAAAGAAAGCCAAATTGAGCTATAAATGCCAATCGTATCCTCTTTAGATTCTTTTAAAAGAAAGTGTAATTGTGTGCGCTGCCAGCTACGAAAAACCAGAGACAAGAGAATGGCCGAAAACGTTCCCTGGAAACGTAGTCCTCCACCTTATGCAAGCGCACGACCTTGGAGGGTTAAAGGTGTACATAACTGTAGCTTCAAATTAAGACGTTTTCGAGACCCCATCAATAGTCGAAAAAATGTATGATCGTTGTCTGTGTATGTAAAGGGAGCTAAAGGGGATATTCCAGGATTCTCAAGAAAGTGTACTGACGGAATACTTCAAAGAAAGCTGGAAAATATCAAATTCTATTACTATCTATTTATGTATTATTTGTATATTAAATCATGCTATATCGAATAAACTGATTAAAGTGAGAAAAAACATCTAATAGTGTAGCAATACTGCATCTACATCTATTCATTATATGCTATGGTCACACACTCGAAACAGAAAACATTAAAAGTCTATGTACACTGAGTTAACCATCACTAATATCAAATATGAAATAGAGAAAAGTATCAGTAAAGTACGACGAGTATACCACATGCTACAGTAAAAATCCGAATACATGAAAAATCGAAAAGATAGTGAATCGATAGAGAGTAAAAGTACCGTAGTGAACGAATGAAAACAATGAACCTAAAACTCCCCATGCCATCGAAGTTAAAAGATAAAAACGAATCGTTGATGCCAAAACATCTCGCCAATCAATTGATATCAAAGAAATAAATATATGAAAATAAACTAACTTCATATAATAAACATCAAGCAGACATAACGTAACAATTACAACTCTATAAATATCAATATAAAATTCTTAGTTCTGTGAAAAATTCTATCCTAAAGAAGCTACCACTGACATGCCCGGTACATGATAAAACAGAAAACTATCGCAGACTCGTCTTCACTTGTAAAGGCAGCCGAGTTTGGCTGTTCTTGGTAGACTTGAGCCACGACTGAAAAGCAAAACTACACTGGAGCAGCAAGTCAGGAGTTCAACACAACCATCAACCGAGGGGAGGGGCGAGTGCATTTCTCCGAGTCATCCTGACTGTACCTAGTCTTACGAGAGCACGCAACTGGCCAGTCTAACCTTAAAAGCCCTAGGCGCTGTGTGAAGGGAGTGAGTGATGTGTACTGGCCAGCGTTACTCAAGTAAGCCTGAACTCCAGTAAACTAAAGTTCACACCTTATATGTGTAGATCCTTTGTCTTCATCGACGTTCAGCGTTACCAACTTGGTGACTAAAGTTCATTTGAAAAACTAACCTAGTATTGGCCAATTGACCCTGGTCAAAATGACCAGTCAAAAACACTAATAATCCGCCATACCCCTCCTAGTTTTAAGATAGTGGTAGCTTCTTGTCAAACAAATAATCCCTGGGACCAGCGTTACATCTGGATCCCTCTTACTGCTAGCCTAAGAAAGCTATAGACAAAACAAAACATATTGGAAAGTAGTTTGACTTGCTACATACGAGTCGCCAAAATATAAGGAAACGGATAGAGAAATATTTTTACACATGTTTGCAAGTCAAACGGACCTAACCTAGTGAGTTCATATGTACTATCATGAACTAGAAGTTCCTTTTTGATTTAGGAACTGCTTTTCGCCTACCTTTAACCAAATAACTATTATCCTAATACAACATGCAAGAAGACAAAGAACAAGTTCATTTAGGAAAGTCCAAATTAAACAAAATGCTTACAAAATACACAAGTAACGTTGTGGTGAACTTGTTCGAGATCTTCCAATAATATCAACACCGTCTTACGATACACAGCAGTCTTCTTCTTGCTTCTATGTACTTTATATAACCACTTCCAATGCTTAATGATCTGAAAAATTGTTTAAAAAAACTTTAATACTTAATGATAAGATAAGATATTTAAAACTTGAATACAAAAAAGAAAGTTTTGAAATATTTTTTAAAGAATGAATTTGATTGACACTAGTACTTCTTTATTTTCGTCAAGATGAAAAGCGCGCCAAAAAAAGGGCCAACATTTTACAAGGCTTCAGGGAAAATGAAGCAAAACTGTTATAAACGCGGTTTCGATTTAAACTCAGTTATTATTAATTGTGGGTTTTTCAAAGATTTATTTAAAAAGGAACTTTGAATAGAAAAAATTCAGTCCATAAATCTTCCGACTTCCAAAAGCGCGCGAAAACCAAATAAATTGGAACATTTTCGAACAAAAAATTACATATATCGAGATAAAAGCGAGATAAATAAATTCCAAAAAGCTGTAAT